GCAAAGAGGGCGAAAAATACACTTATATAAATTGCTTATGTACATAGGTTTTCAAGCATTTGTCAAATGATTTATTGAAACAATTTTTATCATCAGTTAATGAAGATGACAACTTGTTTGCATACGAAGACTTGGATCTTTTGAGAACTTTCCTAAGAATAGATCTACGCAGTCCGAACGTGTCAAATGTCAAATCACAAAATTTTAATCAATTTTCATCGTCAAATGCTCCCAATTTGGCATAAAATCGAATATTTTTTATAAGAACGTTAAGCGGGGCCTTCAGCAAAGTATCCTATGAAGATCCTATATGAATTTTGCGCTTTCAATTAATATGCGAATACTTGTCGATTCGACATGTGTGTGATTGTAAGTTTTCGTCATAACGCACTATGCCTTCAAATAAGGAAGCAATAGACGTTCACTTAAAATAGTGATAATAATAGTTCGCGTGGTTGGCATCAACTTTTTCGAGCCTCTAATGCGGTAGCACTTGTTCTTTGCAACACCTTTACAGTTGCATTCTCCTGCAAAGTAAGAGAAGGAACGAGTGGCGTTGTTTTTTTAGCACAGACCTCTAAACAACGAAATCTGGACTATGAAATTTGTGGTTGTGTATAGCTCAGCGATGTTAGATGTTAAGCCTAAAGCTATCGAAGAGACATGGTGTGATTCTAGCAGTAACAATTAACTGCGTTTCTAACAATTATCCACACATTCAGTGCTTTATCCATAACTAACATTTAATATATAACAGATAAAGGAGAGAGTGTGAGTGTGAGAAAAGGGAGCAATTTCTCGGTAAAACACAGATTCGAAAGGTTTCTTTTCTAGACAAGAATTCTCTTTAAGAGAATGGCACAGTGATAGTTCATTGTTGACCCCAATGCAGACCATTTTATTACTTTGCACACAGAGATTACTGTAAAGAACGGGTTTTGTGTCTCCACACTGAACTTACTTAACCTTAACTTGGGAATATATTTAGAGATGTCGGCCTTAGCGGCTGGATCAACTTGGGTACTTCCGCGTCCACGTCTGTTGAAAAGTTTAAGAATTCACCAAGTGTACCAAACCTTTAAAAAGGATATTCACGTCACGGATACGTTAACAACAGTGTAAGCGCATTTGTGGCGTTGTTACGTAAACCGTTCGAGTATATTTTGTTGAAGCGATAGCTCTTTTGCATGCAGCTCGAGCCTGTGATGCTCACTATGCTGGTATGTAGTACTCTTTGATTATATTATGTCTATCAAGTCTGTCCGGAGACGTTACGCTGCTTCCTTCTTTATGTGTCTTATGTGATAAGGGTATAGGAATAAATTTATTATGTACGGGCCTTCGTCAGGAGGGAGTAGAAATAATAAATAAAATACTTTCGCTTCAGTGGCATGTTATGATTACAGTGCCCCGCATACGTCCAATAGTCGAATATTTTTTTTTTTTTCTCTTTCTTAGCTTGCACATGTTTGCTATGTTCGCTACGCCTAGTGCGATGCACATAATCCATAGAAGAATTTATAAGTAAGCAGTACATAAGGCAAAAAATAAAGATGAAATTATTGCGTAATAATAAAAGTTGTGGCCATTTGGGAAATGCATAAGAAATGAACTGAACTGACAGGGAGATTGACATAAGTGTAGTCATTGAATAGAAGAGAAATACCTAAATTTATGACCTGTGTTGCATAGAATCTTAACAATGTCTTATTAATGGAAAGCCTTTACGAATTGTATATAGAAAGAAAATTTACAATAATTTTGGAAACAAATATAATTAAATTACTCAAATAAATCGATGGCCACAAATCGACTGTGTATATGTAAGAGCGTTCGTTATAATGCAATTAAAGGTAAATATATGCAAATGGATATATTCGCAGCGTTGCTAACATAGTAAGCAGTGGGGGAAAATCAAAGGCTATACACTTTAAAATGTTGAGTAAAAAAGTTTAAATTCATTAAAATTATTAAATGCTTAACAACATTTCATTATTTGTTAATGCAATGCAGCTTATTGAAGCTTGCATATGCAAATATTGGCAAAACTCCAATTTATGCGAAAATATGCAGATATGGATATTAGGACGTAAGCATAAAGTCAAAGTGATAAAAACATGTATATCAAGCAGTCACTTGACATGCTTTAGTCATTTAAAGCACATTAAAAATGATAGAGGAAGCAACTTAGCTTAACTTGCTATCAAAGTCAAATTTAATAAATGTTTTTCTTCAACTTTTAACAGGAATGTGATCGAAGTATTTCTTAAGGGTGCTTATGAAAATTTTGCAGTCTATTTCAATGTGCAAACGACTCGTAAGAAGAAAACATTGAATTGCTGAACCGTTGTTGTTCACTTTCATATACATATTGCTTTAAAAGTGCGACGCCATTTCCATCCATCGTGCCGTTCGCTCTCACGTTGCTCTTACTCGATTGGGATGCGTCTTAATTCACTGAACATGGAAAAGTTGTAAATTTTGACAGCCATTGTGCAATTAAAAGCCAAGCTGGGACCGACACGATTGTGTGCGATATGGATAACGAACCCGGCCACCTTACAAATCCACCGATGACGTGTTAATCAATAAGGATAGCTCTTTTTTAACGGTAAAAGCCCATCCATCAAAACAAATTATTTTGTGTGCCTGAATCGCTTCTTCAATAGTGTGTAACGCAAGAGAGATAGGAAGACAGAGATATATGAATATCGCGGTGTATTCGCCAAGGCTAAATCTCGACAAGGAGCATGCAGTACTTTGTTTTATATCTAATCGTCCACACATCACTTGGTCTATAATTTAATAATTCGATCAAGTGTTGTCTCTACAGTTGCTTAGTAGAATAAGAAGAAGATTTTGCTGTTGCTGTTCCCAAAGCTCAATAACCTTAAGCAAATGTGTGGATTCTCAAGTCGATGCATTTCGTGGCATTTCTTCTTTTTCGATGGCAAGATAACAAAACAGATAACGATATGGATCGACACCACCAGACCGCCAAACCGTACAATGACTTAGTTCATTCTAGTCTTTGGTTTGCTTTGACTATTATCGCAACCTATGATAACAATTAAAAAAGGAAAAGATAGTAAGAGAATTATGTTGGGCGAGGAAAATCTTTCGTACTCCTTTTCAAAATCCTTTGGCAAATCTTCATTTTCGCGAAGCGGGAGAATGGTTACAACAGACATTGCACAGACAGACAGCGGAATCAAAAATATATGTATGCTTGATACTGTCTCTAACTGTTTATTCTGGGTGTTGCAAATGTTTTGTCAAAGTTAATATGCTCGCATCCTTTGCTGGTGGGTGTAATAACAATACAATTGTGGAATGGTATGTACTTTACTTAAAGGTAGAGCGACTTGTTTGGCACTTGAAAAGGCCGAAGCGCTAACTTTAATGCGATTCTTTCCCGTTGAACAGAAAAAGAAGAAATAGAAAAATCGTTGAATAAAATGTTTACAAAAGTTATTCATTACCAGAGAACGTTTTAATCTTCTTCTTCTTCTGCGCAGCAAACACACTACCTAAACCTTAGCAAAAACAAAAAATGTTTTGCTCGTTTTATTGTCATCACTTGGTAAAGTCTATCTTTCTACCTTTGCATCGACCAAAACGATTATAAGGCAAATCAAAGCACCTTGTGATTGCAAATCAACTTCAGTGAGTAGAGACCACATGTGGCAAAAATTTTCTTAATATATCATTTAATTTAATACCTTAAGCTATATTGGTTTAGTTAAAAGCAAATCAGAATTTGTATGTTAAGTAATCTAATCAATAGTTTATCAAATATTTGCATTTTCAATTCATTTTTGCATCCGTCGTCGAAGAACGAAAATATGTTGCGTTCTTCCATCAGTAAGACTCGGAAATACGCATAAAATGTAAATTTTATATAAATCACTTTATATGAATCTAGAATATTGACTTATTTTAATCGTACTCGAAAAATTTGCCGAATCTTCCTCGTGGTTGATTAGTCGCAAAGCGTATTTACCCGCGATTTGCGCACGACAAGAACAAAAAACATTAAAACTTGTCATCCATACCAAAAATATATCTTAAACTCGGCATATATGATTACGCGACTATCTGAAACTCACTGGGAATAATGCGTCCGTAAACACACTCAAAATGAGTTCTAACTTCAACGATATATAGGCCATTGGAACCAATTATCTAAAACACATTAGAGAGAATTTTGAGAGGCAGTGTAAGAAATAACACTGACATTTTAAATAAGATCTACTGTATCGTAATAAGATTGTATAGAAGGGTATCAGAGATTCGGCTTTCTTGCTCGATTATTTTTTGAGAAATGCCCCTAAGCAAAATGAAAACTTCGGTTGAGCTTTAATTCAATTGAAATTTTTTACAAAACTAAACAAAAACAACTAAGAGAATTACATTCGGTTGTAATCCAATCCTTCGTAATCATTACCTAAAGCTTCATTTTTGCGGCCACGAGAAGAGAATTCATGAGAGACATTATACAATCGGATGGACCGACAGACGGTACTTCGGAATTTGATGCTGATCAAGAATATATGTACTTTGTGGGCTCTCTGAAGCTTCCTTCTGATCGTTCACAGATATCAGACTTTCTTTGTAGTAACTGCAAAAAGTTGTTTCATGATCAGTGATGTCATTCGGCCGCCAGACTGGCAGCATCGATTAAAAGGATTAAAAAAGCAAAAAGAATCGAGTGCTTTCCTTAAAGGAATCTGGCGATTGATGGCTTGAAGATGAAAAAATTCATTTGTTTTAAAGCTCTACGAAACTGAGTTAGGTATTTAAGAGACGACTATTGCCGTATGCGTCCCTCTTTATTTTGAGTGTTCTTTTCGAATAAAAGGCGATTCTTCATTCTTTTACTTATTTATTTATTTATTTTTGTTAATTTACAAATCGTTTTGCGTTATTTTTACATATGTTTAATATATCAAAGTAAACAAACACCTAAAAATCAACACACAACACATGCCGAACACTTCTGGGATGATTGCCATTAATTTTTACCGCTTTAGATTTTACAGTTGGCAAATGATGTCCAATGCGACTACGTCTTTATAATTAATACGGGCGCGTATCACAATTTGCATTAATAAAATTACAAGAGAGGAAAAAAACATTTTAAAAGAAAGAAAACAAAAGAAAAGAAAAGAAAAAAACCAGAAATAAAATGATTTCAAAGTTAATAGAAGCAAAGAAATTGAGATTTATATCCAAGTGATGTGAATCAAGAAGTGCTCCTCAACAGTAGTCGTAAAAGCTGTTTAATCAATAGTTGAGCATGAGTTAGTTGCTTTGACTTAAAAGTGAACGATATTCGAGCAAAATCATCTAAGGGCTGTGAACGAAATTCCTTCGCAAAAGTGTGACTTTGGCGACTTTGGCAGGGAACATGTAAGTTGCAACATAGGTGCTTGGTGACGCTCGCAGCAAGTCACAAATACCTCTTTAATTATATTAATCTATACACGAACACATAGTAATGAGACAAAGGTTGGCAAAGAGTTCGAACGAGAGAGGGGAAGGGAAAATGGAAAATGAAGAATTTATGTATGCCTACATGTGTAGGCTCATAGACGCTTTTTACTTTGCAAATAAATTTTATCGAAATTTATTTTTGTATACTTAGAGGACCCTTAAATTTATGGGCGTTCTTAGTATCAAACAAAGGCACCAGCACTAGCGCTAGTAATGCATACATTCGTGCATACATGTAATATTTAAAAATAGACTTGAAATTAAAAACAATTTAATATAAGTGCATATAAAAAAACAACAATAACAGGGTGAGTGCATCACTTTATATACATACAGTAAAACATGCCAATTTCTTGTACTCTTGTACCATTAAGTACTATATATGTATATATATGTAAGTATTGCATATGCCTTTCTCGTTTCAATATGAAACTTAATTTAATATGAAATTTAATTATGGAACTCTGTTCAGTGCTACTTAAAGATTCTCAGTCAGATGCAGGGAAAGATCTTGGGATAACATGTTAATATTAATACTTACGCTTAACATTAAGGAGAGGTTTTATTATAGCACTAAGTTAACTATGGGACAAAACAAACTATTGGGTAAAAATTTATTTAAAATTGCCTGGAGGCGAAGCCCCATCGCATCGAAAACTCGCAGAATTAAATTAGTTCTTACTCTAGGTGTATGCGTTTCGAAAAGATGGCAAAAGAATTTCTTTTTTATTCTCTAAGGATCGCATGGTAGCATTTCTCTCGCCTCTAAGAAGGCAACTATTCACCTAGGCGTTATACATGCTTAAAGCATTCATTATAAGTTTACTGCCAACAGGGCATCCTATTGGTGAATGCTATAGTAAGAGAACTATAACGAAACTTCATTATCTGCGATCGCTCGCTGCATTGTTCTATCTGCGTAGTTACTAAGTCCAAGTGGAACATATCTACCGACACACTCCATTCTCTCCATTTGTTATTCTTTGGCCATTTGAATCTTACCGATATTTCTATTCCACATTCCACACTAAAGTACTTAACTTTGACCCTATACTAAGTCTATCATTTAAGTAAAAGTGACAAACACTTTTTTTAAGTTCAAAAATTGAAAAGTGACTCACGCGGTAGATTTGTTGTGTTGAATAGAGACTCTATTGGGAAACGAATCGCAATTTTCAACTTAATGCTCATATAAATACAAAACGTACGCCGTCGGGCAGTGAAGGCATATGAAATGAAATTTTTCTAATGGAATGCGTAAATTCTTCGGTAAATCAATAGATGGTACAAAGGGTACAGAGTGAAACGAAAGAGAAACAGATATTCAAGGTTAGTACTCAGTTGAGTACAATTGTTTTCTGTCCCTGGGCTTAGAACCCTCTCTTCTCGTTGTTATTATTTCCGACTGGTAGTGCAACAACGTCCGAAATGTTGTGCGAATATAACGGAGCATTTCATATAGTTCTTGCATCAAATTAAACCGATACATGAACCTCGGTAAAATTAGCCAGAACAACAGTACAGCAATGGTACGTTTCGGATTCTAACTTCATTCGTTTCTTCATTTTTCTTTTGAATATTGAGCTCGTCTTTGAAACTCTCTTAACTTTTGGAACGCTTGGATTAATCGCAAATGTATGAAAAACTGTAGAGGCAAAAAGTGTAGTGACGTAATTAAATGGCTAAACATTTCATACTGACCGGCAGATAAAACAAGTACATGCTTTTTATCTATTAATTAATAACAATTTTCCAACATTTTTAAATTCTTGAATGAGCGAACGATTGTGTGAAAATGTCCGCTTTCAAGAATATAGCGTATCATATCCATTAGTATCAACGCCTAGTGTTAGTCTCAGAAAAGTACTTGACACGAAACCGTAACCTTTGCATGTTTTACAAAATGTATTTAAATTCGTTTTCGATAGCGTTGTGTTCAACAGGTCGCCGCTGCAAAGGAGACGTCCATATATGCCAAACACTTTACTTAATCATTTACTAGCTTCTCTCATAGGGACCTGTCGGCTGATAGTGCAGTTATCAGTAAGCAAATAAATAATTTTTCCACTTTTTCAGCCCTTCTATCAAAGTTCAACTCGACTCGACTAACTATAACTCATAGGCAAAAGTAGTCAAGAAGTTTTCGAAAAGCCAGACTAAAAGTTAATAACAAACTTAGGATAAATTATTTATTATTGAAAGATAATTTGAGTGCGTACCGTTCCGTTGCTATTCAATGAAGTAGTTGTAACAAATTATTGATCGAAATCTGTTGTAGATTGTAAGTGGGTGACAATAATAATTACAGCATATTCATGTTTGAATTTAGGCCAGGTCTTCAGCTTTGGTAGAGATGTTTGTGTGTGCACTGATTAAGTTCATTGCCAAATTATTATTTGTGATTGATAAATTGTTAGTACTTGTTGATAAGAGTACACTGTAAGCTTTTTCTATGTTCTGTTGCATTACGCTACACTACACTACGTTACATTTGCACTTAGATACTTGAATCCTTAAGGGAGATGTGTCTATTCAAAGCTTAACTCGGAGCATCAAATTTATGACTTTGACTTGTTTTGAATTGTGTCATAGTTCCCAATGGAAATTTAATTCCCTTACTCTAGTGTACTCGTTAATGTGAAATTCTTGATAGAGGGAAATATATGAAATTAATAAATGTGATTAATTATAGTCGGTGCAGTAGCAGATTGTGCGTAAAATATGAAATAAATTATTTATACAAAAAGAAACGAATCTCTTGTTGAACGGAAAAAAGTTACGATTTCCGTATTAATGATTCTCAGTGCTCGCCGATACGCATTCATTGCATCGCGCATACGATAATTTCAATAAAACGAGGTCAATGTTTGTTTATAATTCCGCGCAATTCATACATATGTAACGGCACCTTTGAAATATTGACGCTGTTGTTTCGCTAGCCGTAATCATAAGCATGTATGGAATACATATTGTTTCTGTACACAAACCGGAGCACCGCAGTAAACGAGTGCATGAAAATTTGCATATGTGGCCCCGAGAAGGGGAGAAAAATTAATTCACGTAAATACTTTTCAAGATTAACGCAGTGAATGCATTGTTTTTATTATTATTGTTGTTGTTATTATTATTATTATTATTTTCAAAGTCAATTAAGGTGCTAGGCATGAAATTTGCAATCGTGGAAAACAAAGAGCGACGAGCAAGCGATTGTTAGTTAAATTCTTTTTTTTCGAAGAAGAAGAAAATTTAAAGAAAAAAAAAAAACTTTAATTTGCTTTACAGAGCGCGTCTATGGCATTGCGAAAATGTGGTCAACATTTTTCTTCTTTTTTTGTTTTTTTTGTTATTATGTAAAGTGACGTGAAGTTTGAGTGACATTGTGACGAAAATGTCACTAAAAAAAATATAAAAAAATTGCTCCGGTTTAATTTCTTGTCAGTAGTTATTCATTAAATAAGACTTGCTCGTAGAGGTCCGATCTTTCGCGAGCCTTAAGTCGGGCCAGTGTTCGCTGGTTTAAATCTCAATTCGTTGGAGCTTAATTTGGTCAAAAGTAGCCTTTTCCTTCAACGTGTCGCGCTGCGTATTACGTACTACTGTGGATTGAAGTAAGACTCGAATCCTTAACGGTCAAGCGAGTAGCATATATACATGACGAGTTTTTTGTTCATTGATAAGTTAATCAGCAGTCATTCCTATAACGAATTGGAATTGATAGACGCTTGATTACGTTTTCAAGTCAATTTATCTTAAGTGTGGCAGCAGTTAGTGTGAAATGTCGCATAGATCTCTAGCTACTTTTGGTTATTTGTTCTTGGCAGTTGTGATTTTTTTCCCACTGTCTTTTGATTCAAACGAAGAATAGCGCCACGATCTGCAAAAATAAATATTAGAGGTACAGCGAAAGCTTGTGTGCGTAAGTCGGTTCGGAATGGGTTCTCTTATAAAGATTTTAATTTCCAAAACACCGTTTGCCACGATCGGCCAATAATTGACTTCAAGCCATATGCACCGACCAAAGGGAATGTATACTTAAAGTGTACTCCCAACTGTGGGCATAAATGATTTATGCTCGAGTTGTCAAATAATTTTGTAATATTGTTTAATTTTTCTAGTTATTTTACCGTGGTTGTAAGTAGATATTTGTAAGATTGAAGTGAACTTGCGCTATGCAAGGGTTGGCTGAAAAGTTATCGAGCTAAGTAAAAATATTTTTATTTATTTATTTATTTATTTTTTTTTTTGGAAGATTTCACTTTATTGATCAAGATAATCTCTTCAGCCGTTGACTTGCGACTCGCTGCTTCACCGTGAGGAAACACGACACCCAACGTACTGCCAGCTTTCTCATGCCTAAATCTTGATTCAACCTGCGACAAATGTGTTACTTGAACATGTTTGTAGTCTCTGTTATTTCTCGAACCTAAAGCCAACGATCGTTCAGTGGTTACAGCTTTGCTGCCCCTGCACCTTAATCCACGCCCCAGCCAGCACGTTCCATTGCACTGACTTAAAATTTCATCACGATAAGCGATGACACAGGAGCCAAGTAAATAGCGTTCAATTCATCTTGAATTTGTCTATGCATATTGCATTTTGAGAACAAAAATTGTTTTGATAGGCCACTTTTTCACTTTGCACATACACAATGACATCAACTCACGCGAATGATTGTCATACAAGAACCGCGCATCTAAGATAGCTGAAATATTTCACAACTTTGGCGGGAAACTCTGGCTGCATTTGTATACAGATAACCAATATATGTGTGTGTGTGTGTATATAAATGTATATGTCACCTACAAACTCTATAGAGGGACTTAGTTTCTTGTAGAGTGTCTTCTGAGCCCCTCAAAATATCTTTTCTACTTGACCGACCCTCTTGGAAGTGTCGAAAATATCTGTGTGCCCGATAA